ATGATGGAAAAACAGAAATGATTGTGACATACAAGTATGAAGTGATATGGCTCCTAGGAAAGTGAATTTGTAGAATATAAGAAGAGTGAGGTAAAGAAGACATGGCCTTTGACCCAGTTTGTCTTCTGAAAATATTAATAATATAAATTTTATTTAAAAATTAAAGTAGTCATTCCCAAAGTTGCTTATCAAATTAAAACCATTAATGTCCAGGGCCAGACTAATGGCTACAGAGGTGGTGACATGTCCATGCCAGGCATATAGTGTATTAAAGCATATTTTTTTGGAAAGCGTCTAGCAAATTAAAAAATGCATATGCCACACCATTATGACTCAGTGTTTCTAATCAGGGGTGAGCATTAAAATGCCTGAAAACAGACAGACTTCTAGGTCCCGTCCAAGAAGATTCTGCTTCAGTTAGACTGGTGAGTGGCCTAGCCAGTGGGAATCCAGAAAAGTCTTTCAAAAGACTCTACTCATACTTCCATATAAAAAAAACTCTGAGTTAAATGGGAAAGAACAAAAATGACCCAAATTGGCATTTATACGTCAACTTTAACTCCCCCAAACTGATTGTGTGTGGGCAGGAAGAAGGAGGGACGAAGCCCCTATATATGGATGACTTGGAAATGTGCTTCCCCCTTGCCAGACACCTGCCAAAATTAGAACCGTATTTGAGGATACTGGAATCACAAGCAGTATATAAATGATGTGTGTAATGCCATTTAATATGATAGTATTTTTAAAAATGAGTTGAGTAGTGTTTTCTAGCTGTTAGTTTTTCCAAATATCAATGTAGAAATTAGCCTTCTGCAGCTGCAGAGGCAACTGAATTTCCAGCTTGCTTGCATGTGGCTTGGTCCCTCTCCCAGAGACATAAAGTAGCTCAGGCATCTCTGATCCTCCTTTCCCACAACCACCTAAGCTAGAGAGAGTCTTGGACTATCTGGTGGGAGAGGAATGCAAGATGGCACAAAGAGTCCTGCTCTGGAGAGACAAGAGACTTTAGAGCCTGGTTTTAACTTGCTGTGAACTTGCTGAGTGACCTGCAGTGAATCCATTTACCTCTCTATGGCTCACTGTAAAATGAGAGAACTTAATCACCTTCAAGGGTCAGGACAAAGGAGAATGGTGAGGAGTACGGGAAGTTGCAAGCTTATGCCTTTGTACAGGGGGTAGTCACTACTGGGTTCCTGCAGTTGTACTCATCTTTGCTGAGAACAGTTGCACAGGTTGTGCACTGCAGAAAGGTAACACTTCAGAGGAGGGTCCTTCACATCATAGATGAAGATATTTATCAATGACAATTTCTTGGAAGATGTCTGTAGAGGGTTTTGAGCACAGAGGTGCTAGGTACGCTGTCAGAAGTTCTGAGTATTGTGTGGGAATGCAGCTTTATTATTGCCAGACCCTTTGTTTGTTTCTTTTTATCTGGAGAAGCTGAAAATACAGCTTTGAATATGAAATTTCCCTAATTTTAAACTTCCTTAATTTTACTAATTGTAAACATTTTAACATTATGTGGGCTAAACAAAACACTTCTGGTAGTCAGTTCAGGCTACAAATTGGAGATGTCAGCTAACCTCTAAGGCAGTGGCATCTCAAAAACCTTTCCTTCTGCTCACCTCATGTGTAATCTTGAAGTAATCACAAAGGAAGACTGTTTACCCTGTGGATTATATGGATAGAATATGAATTTTCTGGACACACAGAGTGCATCTCTGAATGTCGGCATGTACAGCATTCTCTTTGCCTATCATGTGGCAAACTTAATTCATCCTGAACATAAATGCTACTTCCACAGATAGTCTCCTAAGACCTTAGTCTAACTTATGTCCTTTTGTTACAGTTACAAGTTCTTAAAACACCTTGCTTTTCTTGAGTAGCACTTACCAAATTTATGTCACAAGATACTGCCTTGGGTGAATGTTTGGTTGATGTCTGTTTGCTCATGGCTGGCTTTGCTCATGGCTGTATCCCCAGAAGACTTGCCCAGCCTCCGTCGGGTGCCCAGTGTAGATTTACCGAACAGCAGATTAGTCTCAGTGAGATCAGGGAAGGCTCTTATCTCCTTGGTGTCCCTGATCAGACCTTTCCTGCCTGGTGTTTGGCTTCTTGGCTCTTGACCTTGACTGACGTCTGGTTTCCACCACTGAGGATGCTCTCCAGCAGGTTCCCCTCCCCCACACACCTCCCTGAGCCTGAGAGGAACCCCAGCTCAAACCCAGCAATGTCTAGGACATCTGTACTTGGCGTGTGGCTGAAGCCCCCTGGGTTGGGGCAGGGGACTCACATTTTAGGTAGCACACATAGACATCTCTGATAGAAAATTCACTTAATCCTGGCCACTGGGCGCTGGGGCAGTTATCAGCACAGAATTAAATTCTGTTCCCTGTACATATGTTACCTTTTGATTTTATTTTATGTGAGTAATAAGATCATTATGACAAAGAGGCCAGCTCTCCTCCAGATTTCTTGAAGAAATCTTGTTGCCTTCTAAGACAAATTACATTTTTTCAATGCCGAAAAGAATTCTATAAAGATCATCCCTGAGCCCATAAAAGCATCAGCTAAAGCAGCTTACTCCACAAAGATCCCCAAAGAAGCTGCTGAACTCAGAAGGAAGCTCATGATTGTGGGAGAAATCGGCAGAAGGGGAAGGGAAACCTCCATCACACAGAGATGACCTCTCAGGGAGCAAAAGAGGCAAAGAGGGGCAGCAGCAGAGACAGGAAGCTCAGGGAGGCGGGGGGCCGGAGCAGAGTGTGGGAAGTGGACATGATCAGGGGGACGGTGTCGGTCCAGAACTTCACTCTGTTGTCTTTCAGTCTCTGTCCCAGGCTCATGTTCACATCCAGCTTCAGGTACGTCTCGGTCAGATCATAGGCCGGCCACAGAGGCAGGCCGTCCCCATTCGGATTCCTGGAAGTAAAAGCAGACACAGGGTGAGACTTTCCGTCGCAGACACCCTGGCACGGGAGCGCCCTGAGGTCCACTTACCCAGTCCGTGCAAAGTTAGCCCAGTATTTCATCAGCCTCCTGCTCAGCACTTTCTCCTCTTCTGTGGCTCCTTCTGAAAGAGACAATCACAAAATCCCACTGCTCAAAATGACACGCCTCACCATGGAGGATCCCTTTCACACCTCTCCTCCCGCTGAGTCCTGGCAAGACCCCAGTCATTGCACCCATCTTCTATACGCAGACACTGAGGTGCAGAGCCTCGATGACCTGCCCACAGGACTGTGGCTTCCACATGGTGGAGGCCAAACATACACCTTGGGTTCTTCCAGCCATTCCCAGGAAGCTGCAGGTTCCGCAGGGACACAGACCAGTGCTCTCTCTCTCTCACACACTTTTAAAATTAATTATTAATTTCTTTATTTAAAAAGTAAAAACTTCAAAATGCAAAATGAGTTTCTAATATCTAATGAAAATAAGTTTCTCAGCCAAGCACAGTGGCTCACGCCTATAATCTTAGGACTATTAGAAGGCAAAGAGGGTGGATTGCCTGAGCTCAGGAGTTCAAGACCAGCCTGAGCAGGATCAAGACCTTATCTCTACTAAAAATAGAAAAACTAACCAGACATGCTGGCAGGCACCTGTAGTCCAAGCTACTACTCAAGAGGCTGAGGCAAGAGGATCGCTTGAGCCCAAGTTTGAGGTGAGCTATGATGTCAAGGCACTCAACCCAGGGTGACAGGGTGAGACTCTTTCTCAAAAAAATAAAATAAAATAAGTTTTTCTCTCATCTCTTTTCTCCAGACACCCATTGACCAGCCTCAGAGGCAACCATTTGGAGAACACATATTCTACACCTTGCTCTTTTTACGAAAAATAATTTCCTGTTATACACAGGACATTGTCACCTATAAAGTTGGCATCTATTGTTTTATGAACATATATAAATATGTATATGTGATTACATAGAAATATTACATATAATTCATGTATCATGTTTCAGATCTTTTGCTGGTTAAAGCAGTGCTTTAGTGTGCCTTATATTTTTCATGTGTGGAAGTATAATTATACAAAAATCCTAGACGTAGAATTGCCAGGATGAAAACTACAGGCATGGGTGGCACCTGTGGCTCAAAGGGGTAGGGCGCCAGCCCCATACGCTGGAGGTGGCAGGTTCAAACCCAGCCCTGGCCAAAAACTGCGAAAGAAAGAAAGAAAAGAAAAGAAAAGAAAAGAAAAGAAAAGAAAAGAAAGAAAGCAAGCAAGCTACAGGCATTTTAAATGTTGGTAGAGTTTTCTTTCAATGTCCAAAATTGATTTACTAATTTATCAATTAAATTAATTGATTTCCCACACCTGCTTGAATACATTGTTTAATTTAAAATGTTTAGTTCTTCCTGAGCTTGACTGATGGAAAAATGGTCCCTCAGCAAAGTTAGCCTGCACTTCTCTTGTTAACAAGAGAGACTGAGTGGATTTTCATGTGCTTAAAGCCACTTGTGCTTCCTTTTCCAAAAACTCTCTGTTTCTGTCACTCAATTTTTTTTACCAGGAAGTTCTTTTCTCATCAATTTTAGGAACTCTTTAGATATAGAGGAGTTTAACCCCATTGTTCATTTTTTTCCAGATTGGAAGATCCCTGAGACATTGGCTGCGAAGTAAGCACAGTAACAGCTGTTAAGGTGCACTGTGTGCTTTGTGGGAACTGCTTTATTTACTCCTTATGGCAAAGATTCTCTGTTATTATCTGTGTTGTAAGATGATGTAAGATGAGGATGAATTAATAAAACAGTGAGCCAACCACACTCTATGTGGGTAGCTCTGCTCTCACTGTTGAGAGGCCAGTGGGAAGAGCCTGCCTTGTGTAATGTTTCTAATTAAATATTTTAGTGATAGCTCCTGTATGTAATTTTCTTGTAATTTTTGTTATTGCTGTAACCTCTTCTGATTGGGTTGTTATTTAAGCACCCAATTATGTCTAAATTCAGGAATAAATGAGCAAACATCATTAGTAACCGTTCACGAATATTTACATGAGCTCACCTGAATCTAGACCGCTTTGAGCGGGAATCATGAAAAACCTGGTTCCTGTCTTTGAAAGCCCTGGGTGGTATCCTCATGGGATTTCTGGGAAGAGTAGGGAGGGTAGGGCCAGTTGGACCAAAATGATTCTAATATATTTTTAAAAAATTGGATGCTGAGTGGCCTGCTGTGCACGCCCCACAGGCTTTAGTACAAAGAAAAGCACTTATCCAACAAAAGTCGGCAGCTCTTTTTCATCTTGGTTTCTAAAAATATGAGTGGGAGCCTTTTCCAGAGAAAGGTTGTGTCTCTCTGTAAACCAGGGAGGTAATTAAATCCCAACCCACCAGTCCTCAAAGGCTTTTGCGTAGGGGTAGGGTGTACAGAGAGCTCCATGTTCACTGTGGGAGTCCAATCTTCTCCCCACCTCATCCCAAGTTCCATGTTCCAGTAAGAGCAGAAACCCTGTGGCCAGTTCCTTACCAAACATGACAATGTCACCCTTCAGGAAGGCACCTCCAAACACAAAGCGGATTTCATCGCCGTGATCGGCTTTAACAAAAGCTGGTTTCGTGTTTTCAAAGCACTGGGGCCGGTGTTGAAACTCATAGAAGTAGACAGGTACACCAGTATCTGAAAAAAGATCAGGAAAGGCCAGGCATGCTTGCAGGGTGGAGCAGGGGGCTGCATCCCCACCCATCACGCCCTGGATCTGTAGGCCCAGGGGTGGGAAAGGCTCAGAGGCAAGAGGTGACTTAAACGAGCTCAACTTCCTCCTTCATCTGAGGCTGAAATTTCCTGCAAGTGCACCTCAAGCCCCAAATGACAAAGTATTCACTACTTTTCCAGGCAGACTGAGAAGGAAATAGCTCTACTTCTCAAAAAAGTCCTTCATGTCGAGCCAAGATCTACCTTGTTGAGACTCTACTTTAATTACTAGAGGCAACAGAGCAAGGTTAATTCCCTGCTTCCAAGAAACCCACACATGTCCATCCTTCATTCCTTCACCTCTCTGCTGCTCAAGTTCTCTGCCCTGCAATTTCCAACACTCATGGGCCACACACAAGCACACACACACACACACACACACACACAGGCACACACAGACACTCTTGGTTTCAATCTCACCCCAATTCCTGGCTCATTTCTTGCCATTCCTTCCAGCAAGGCTTCGCAATGCAGTTACTTCATACTTTTTGACCCCATTTCCCTTCCTCTTAGTCTCTCTTTTTTAATTGAAGATCATTTATGGACAAGAAAAAATCATAGGTTTTAAGTGTAGAGCTTGATGATTTTTCACAAATGCATTTATGTAACCACCACCCTGGTCAGGATAAAGAGCATTTCCACCACCCTAGAAAGGTCCCTTCTGGCCACTCTCCCAGGAGACCACAGTACCCTTATTCCTATTGCCATAGGTTCATTTCACCTGTTCTTGAACTCTACATAAATAGACTACAATAGGTACTCTATTGTGTACTCAATGGCCTCTTTTGCTCAGCTTAGTGTTTGTGAGATTCATCGATTGTTGTATGTACCAACAGCGGACTCCTTTGCATCACTGAGCAGTATAATATTGTATGAATACACCTCAGTTTGTTTATCCCCTCATCTGATGACAGACATTTGGGTTGTTTCCATTTGGGGACTGTTATGATTAAGGCTACTGTGAACAAGTCTTCTGCAAGGACAGAGACTTTCATCTCTCTTCAGTGAGTACCTGGGAACAGAATCGTTGAGTACCAGGGTAGGTGTATGTTTAACTTTATCAGAAACTACCAGGATCCCAGAATGGTTGTACCATTTTACTTTTCCCATCAGGTTCTGAAAATTCCACATCCTTCACAATACTTCTTGGTGTGGTTTGTGTTTTTGATTCTAGCCATTCTAGTGAGCGTAATTGGTCGCCTCATTTTGAGTTTATTTTGCATTTCTTTGGTGCCCCAAAATGCTGGGCACCTTCTCACAGATTTTAGGGTTTTCATAATCTTCGGTTTTAAGGTGTATTTCCAGGTTCAAGGTTTTACTCATGATTGTAAAAGACTGTCTTTTCATTATTCAACTGTAAGATTCCTTCATCTATTCTGGATACAAACTTTTTTTGTCAGTTAATTATATTGTGAATTTTTTCTCTAGTTTTGGATTTGCCTACTCATTTTCTTAATAGTATTTTTTAAATATAAGATTTACATAAATAAAACTCACCACTTTATTTTAAAGTAAATAATTCAGTGGGTTTCAGTACACATACATTCAGAATATTGTGTAACCATCACCTCCAGTTAGGTCCAGAATATTCTTCTCACCCAAACAGAAACCCCAGAACCATCCAGCAGTCATTTCCCACTTGCCCCTCCCATCAGCCCCTGGAAATCACAGTCCTATTTCTCACCTCTATGGAGTTGCCTAATCTAAACATTTCATATAAATGGAATTATACAGCACATGGCCTTTATGTCTGGTTTCTTTCACTTAGCGTGTTTTCAAGGTTCATCATGTTGGGGCAAGCCTCCAGTATTCATTCCTTTTTATGGCCAAGTAATAATTTCATTTTATATAGATTTTTATAGCCATTTTTAAATGCCACATTTTGTTTATCCGTTCATCAGTTGATGGACACTTGGGTTGTTGCCATTTTTTGCTATTATGAATAAAGATATTAGGCCAGGCACAGCAGCTAATCCTAGCACTCTGAGAGGCTGAAGTGGGAAGATTCCTTGAGCTCAGAAGTTCAAGATAAATAAGGGTGCCATGAACATTCATGTAAAACTTTTGTTTGAACATTTGTTTTCAATTATCTTGAGAAAGCTGAGCATAGTGGCTCATGCCTATAATCCCAGCACTCTGGGATGCCGAGGTGAGTGGATCTCTTGAGCTCAGGAGTTTGAGATCAGCCTGAGCAAGAGTGAGACCCTGTCTCTAAAAATCAAGGTGTTGTGGTGTGCAACTATTATCCCAGCTACTTGGGAAGATGAGAAAAGAGGATTGCTTGAGCCCAAGAGTTTAAGCTATGATGCATTGCACTCAACCCACTGTGATAGAGTGAGACTCTGTCTCAAAAAAAAAAAAAAAATTATCTTGAGTAATCCCCCAGGAATGAATTTGCTGGGTTATATAATAACGCTATATTTAACTTCTTGAGGAACAGCCACAGTGTTTTTCAGAGTGGCTGTACTGTTTTATGTTCCCACCAGTAGTATATGAGGGTTCCAGTTTCTCCATATCCTTGACAACACTTACTCGTTTTCTGTGTTTTTTCTTAATTATAGCCATTGCAGTAAATAATACATGCTAAAGAATAAAGTTGGGTCCTTCCCTCATACTATACACAGAAACTAACTCAAAAATGAATCAAAAGCCTACATAAAATACTAAAACTGTAAACCTTTTTATAAGAAAGTAAAAACCTTTTATTCAACCTTTTATAGGGGTGAATTTCCAATGCCTTGGATTTGGCAATTGCTTCTTAAATATGACACCAAAAGTACAACTCCTTCCCTCATACTATACACAGAAACTAATTCAAAATGAATCAAAAGACTACATATAAGACTAAAACTGTAAACCTTTTATAAGAAAGTATAAGGGTAAATTTCCCTTGCCTTGGACTTGGCAATGGCTTCTTAGATAGGACCCAAAAGTATAACCAACAAAAGAAAAGAAAAAATAGATAAATTTATTTCACTAAAGTTAAAAACTATAGTGGAACTATTGCACATGGCCAACAGAGTAAGAAGGCAAACCACAGAATGGAAGAAAATATTAGCAAATCATACATCTCAGAAGGTATTAATATCTATGTTATATAAAGAACTCCTAAAACTCAGCAACACAGAACAACTCAATTCAAAAA